AGGCACCATTCACTTACTGCCCGGCGTCAGATAAAGGCTTTTAATCGGCCTTTGAATGAGTTTTGTTGTTTTAAATTGCCAAGTGGTAGAATGAGTTGATATTTTTGCTAACCCGGTTTTCAAACATCCAGGTATATATACAGTATGTTCTATTTGAGTTTGTTACATTAATGGTCGCAGTGGTATTACATTAGTACGTAAGTTTTTTATTACATTAAAGGTTAAAAAATTACTACATTGGTGGTTAACTTTTTGTTACATTAGTGGTTGATATTTATTACATTAATGGTTTGTATTACATTAGTGGTTGATATTTATTACATTAGTAGTTAGTGTTACAGTAGTAGTTGATTATTACATTAGTGGGTGATACAGCTGAAGCTCCAATCATTTGCCTAATTTCAAACCGAGAGGAGCTAGGTTCGAGTCCGTTTATTATGGGATAAACAACACGAGATCCACTAAGTCAGAAAGATCACATTAAGTCTAGAAACATTTTCTAGTTTGGTGTTAATTGGGCCTATATTGAACGAGATACAGCCATTCAAATACTCTAAAATTTACTAAGAAATATATAGACGTCCGGACGGTCTGGCAATCCAAACATCTCTTAATAAATCTTCAAGTTTAATATAGCTGTATCTTGTTTTTTGGTTTGTTTTTGTTCTTTTTTTTAATTTCAGTAACTTATTACACCACACACCAAAAAAGAAAAAGAAAGAAAGAAAGAAAAACAATAGTGCTCAGTCACTGCACAGAATGTTTCTAACCTCAATGTGCTTTTTCTGAGTATGTGGATCTCTCCTTAATAAACAGACTCGTACCCCAATCAGCCCCTGTCGGTTTGAAATTAGACCATGACCACGTTTGTTCCTGTTGTTTGCAGATAGTTTTATGATTCCTGCGTCCTGGTGCTTGATGTTTGGATCTCCAGTCCATCCACAAGGAAACCTGTTTTAACAAATTAGCACGTCACGATACATCCCATCAAGCGTCTGCCGCTCATTTGAGCTACAGAAACAAGTTGAACTAAACTGGACATTGTTACAGATGATGTATGCAAGGAAAGCCACCTTCTAAATATTTAAGAATTTTGTGGATTCTCTTTCGTTAATGGAGTAGCTCTTGCTTGGATTTGAACAGTCTCTGATTGAACTGTTTTTCAATAAGGCCAACCCAAGAGGTAAATAAGCGACATACCTCGAGTAATTAAGAAATAACTTTTATGTGCCTGTGAATAAACTTCTTCAGCCTTTTTGTTGGCCCAGAGTAGTTATAAAAACAGCCTTTGGCAAGGATCAAGTATTATTTATTATCTCGTAGTTTTACCCTGATGGCTGTGATGGTTCATCTTTACTTGGCCAAAGATTTCAAGCTAACACTGCAATTTATCCCTGTAATTTTGATTGAAAATATAACGAAGCTCCTCGTCATGCGATAAAATCTGTTTTGCCCGTTTCTGCATTCCGAGAGGATAACATAAACCAAGCCTATTCGCCGTCACTAATAATTCAACAAATACAAAACGTTTGCCAAATTAATGACAGAGAAATCGTTGGAGCAGAAGTCCGTAACTAGAAAGTCATTCTGAATTCAGCGGTAAAATTGACTTGGAATTTCGATAACGAATTGCTGTGCCAAAACCAGCAACCAAAATTAGAATCATTTGGGACAAGCATTTCCATCGCCTGCTTATTCCAAATACCAATCCCATCGACAATCGTGTCATCCCGCTTTAGTTTTGTAAACACTATAAATTCCTCCTTAGCATACTCTGAAGTCGAGTTATATGTNCGTAGTTTTACCCTGATGGCTGTGATGGTTCATCTTTACTTGGCCAAAGATTTCAAGCTAACACTGCAATTTATCCCTGTAATTTTGATTGAAAATATAACGAAGCTCCTCGTCATGCGATAAAATCTGTTTTGCCCGTTTCTGCATTCCGAGAGGATAACATAAACCAAGCCTATTCGCCGTCACTAATAATTCAACAAATACAAAAAGTTTGCCAAATTAATGACAGAGAAATCGTTGGAGCAGAAGTCCGTAACTAGAAAGTCATTCTGAATTCAGCGGTAAAATTGACTTGGAATTTCGATAACGAATTGCTGTGCCAAAACCAGCAACCAAAATTAGAATCATTTGGGACAAGCATTTCCATCGCCTGCTTATTCCAAATACCAATCCCATCGACAATCGTGTCATCCCGCTTTAGTTTTGTAAACACTATAAATTCCTCCTTAGCATACTCTGAAGTCGAGTTATATGTTTCAATAATTTGATTTAGCAGTTTTGGCTCAAACTTCTGTTACATGTATTTCAATGTGCAATATATCAGCGTCTCCTTTTACTGATGTACGTTGCTTCCAACTTAAGAAAAGGGGTAATTGGGATTTTCAGCCACTTTGTACCAGAGCTCAGATAGACAATAGATGATTACCTTTGTTATTGACTAACGTGCTGTGTTTAAAAATTTCCACCGAGTCTGGGTGTGTACTACTCACAAACAGAAAACGGATCACAACACGGCTTTATTTTGGAAGGGGGGGGAAGGGGGCGGCAAGCGACAACCCTATTCAAAAGCGTATGACAACGACAAACAGTCAACTGAAAAATATGTTTTGTTTTATTCCATAATACCAATAACTAAAGCTATCTTCCACCAAGTCAGTGGGGATACAATATATTAAAGAATTCATTTTGAGTTTTTTAAACAATTTCTTAAATTTAGGCATAGATTGTATAGTTATATCCAATAATGTCTGATAATTTCATTTTAATAAATTACATTAGTATATTATTTACATAAATATAATTCTAAATACTGTAGCTAAGCATGATTAAACCAATAAGGATAACTATGAACGAACTGAAACCTAATTTCTAGCAATATTTCCAAGCATGCGTGCAATGATTTGACAGAACACACTTAATTCCAAAATGGCGACCATGTTGCCTTACTTTTATATTTCTGTTAATTAGCCGTTTTTGCCTCGTGATTGCACCTGCAGATTTCAAAAGAAGTTTTAACTTGAAATTAGGCATTCACATGACGTCACGACACCTATATTGATGTCATAAACGGCGGTCATGTTGAGTTGAACTCTATTCTTCTGTAAACGCGTTTTTGTTCCAATTAATTTGCACAGATGCTGCCCACGTGAGTGAAAACGCTCTATTATCGTTGAGATGCATTAATTTGCCGCCATTTTGGAACAAGGCATCATGGCTGGCCAGGTCCCATATAAACAAATTCACGATAGTTCGCCATCGTAATCGCTATTCGTCACCGCTATCTTGATGTTAGCAAGCCGTGCACATAATGTAATAAATGAAATGGTCACATCAGATAGCTCAGCTGTGAGATATAGTGTATAAATTTGTGGCTATCTCACAAAAGTACTGAGAGTGGCCTAGTCTTGCTTACCATAATAGAATAAAAAAAAAGGTAAGAAGTAAGTGGACTGGAAGCCAAGAAGCTGGTCAAGATGGGACGGCTTCTTTTAGACTGTGTGATGAAAAACGCTTCACTATAATTTACTGCCACCTTTACAAAGTTATTAATGTCTCTCTCCCGTGGTGAAAGACCTCCAAAACTTTTACGTGTGGCTTACACAAAACCGTGGGGGTATTTCCATACCACACCCTTAACCCTTTAAAATCTCAACACCACCTTTCTCCCAACAACATCAATAAAGAATGAAGAGAAGAGGTTATGAGGATTGATAAACAGATCACCACAGGGGAAATGTTTCGATCTCATCAAATTCTCTCAACTGATTCTTTAAGGAAATGTATGGAGACCAGTCTGGAGAATTTGCTCGTGGAAATTTGGGGCTTGAAAGGGTGAAGGCAATTAACTTTTAATTGAATTGAACGTTCTAATTGAATTCATTTTCACTGCATACATTATAAGCACACGAGAAGTGAGTAGTGGGGATATAAGAACCACAGCAGCTTTTCCACCCAAATTAAAAATAACTTACAATGTACGAAATAGTACGAGAAGAAAAAGAGAAATTGTTAGAGAAAGTAACACACTTATACTGTTAATAATGATCAAAAAAGCACCGTGATGCTAGACCCAAACTGACTAAATTTCACTTCAGTTATAAAGAGAGTGTAAATGAACTATTTTTATGGCACTGTTCTCCACTAAATGTACTGTAGACCACGAGAATACAAGCTATACATTCCAAAACGAAGAAAAAAAAACAAGTCGCCTTTTTGAGAATTATTCAATTCAATACTACTTCGTAGACGTTGTTCCTGTGTGATTAACATTCAAGCTGTTTGTCACATTTGAAGTGGTAACCTGTGCCAGAGAATAAACAAAAGCAACTGTTAAAGATTTGCAAACTATTAAGAGGAGCACTTGCGCACACACCATTGCAAAGCAGTAAAAACAATTAAAGGAAAACTTAACTGCCAGATTCTAATTTTTAAACATTTTAAATACCCTTGTTTACATTTTCCCTTTGTATGTCACGAGTGTAAAAATTTTCGACACATCATAGGCGGCCAAACGGTCATCGTGACGTCTTTTCTGTGTCCTTTACCATCCTCTTTACTTTTGAATGTTTGTAGTTCGTTCAGTTCCGGAGCACTCTGTGTCATATTCTAGCTAAAAATGACTGCGCCGCTCACGAAGCGACGCTTAAGCTCAGCTCTGGTACCAAGCACACAAAAGGCTATTTCCGTGTTTCTAAAACTTTCTCTTTCAAAACGAGGCTGAGTGCAAAACTTTTCTTGTGCAAATGAGTTTTATTTGCATGAGAAAAAAACCATTTTCACATTAACGGCTTCGCATTTTAACTTCGCACTTAGCCTCGCTTTGAAACAGAGGCTTGGGGCAACTCGGAAATGAGATAATGAGGTGTGAGTGACGTCAGGATTAGTTCTCATTTCCCAGCCTCGTGCTGCTAATTAACTGTTGGAACAACTCTTTGAAAATGACACGAAAGTACACAAACTACACCTATACTTAAAGGAATTAACAACATACCATAACTAGCAATTTTATCCAGATTAGGAGCCATACACTGTCCTCCAACATGCCCAAGACTGCCACAGTTGTAACAAGACACTCTACAACTGTTTAGCACAGGAAACGTCTTTTTATACATTCTAGAAAACCCTGTCTAAAGAGGAAATGAAATGTTCCCTAAATCAGCTTAAGCACATCACTTAACACCGTTAATCTTTAAAGAAAACTCTCCTTAATATCCTGCAGCGCAGAGTGTGTACGTTCAATCAGATTTCCTGTGTGGTGTTACCGCCTTCTTTGATTTTAACAGCAGAGAAGGAGATAAACTAACTTCCGAACTATGCTTTAGAGTTAGATTTCGATTTCAGAGGTCAAATACTGTCGGAACCAAACACCAAAGAAAACAGACCCGCTTCAAATATGAGACAAGCAGTAAAAATAATAATTGCTCAACCAATAGTGAGAATAAGTCATGTCAGTACCGGCTACAAAGAAATGCATCTTAACATGAACTGCATCTTCTAAACCTTCTGACAGCCCAAAAAAGACCATGTTTGAAACCGCTGACTATTTACTGGAACTCCAAGCCCAAAATCAACTCAGAATCGTAGTTAACTACTTGAAAAAAACAGGCCAGTCAGTGTCTTGCGAGGTTGACCAAGCACGCTTACCATAATGATTTCGCCGGGAATTTTGGTGAAAATTTTCCAACAAATGGTAATGGTATTTTTTTGCACCAAAAACAGGAATGGGATTGACTTTTACCATTTACAAAATACCATTACATGTAAATTTACGAGCCCTTTCCTTTCAACCAAAACTTTCGAAAATTTGGAAACGGCGGCAAATGGTACAGAAATCTCCCGAAATGTGAACCATTCAAATTCAAGATTTTCAGGCAGCAAAGTTGAAATTATGGAAAGAAAACTTCCGGGAATAAATTTTCGAAAAATTAGGTATACCTTGCGAGGTTGCCCTGTTTTGGGAAATTTTGCTCCTTTATTCGCTCCTGGAAGTTGCCGAAAATTCAAACCGAACGTTTTGGTTGAATGGAAAGCGCTCTATGCTTCCTCTCAAAACGGTGCCTGGCACTGAAAATCCACACAAATGTTGCAGAAAATTTCGGTCGTTTCGGTCAAAGCGGGAAAAAGGTAATACCCCGGAAGGTTTTAAGTTTTTTTTCCGAAAAGTTTCCACCGGAATGAACCATTCCATAAATTCCCACTAATATTATCGATCGGGTTTTCAACACAAATGGCAGCGCTCCTAAATCCAATCCGTTTCAATCTTCTTACGTTATACCAATATGTTCTTCGCAATAGTGTTTCCGAATCTCTCTCATGTTCTATAGTTCGAAGCAATTAATTTGATTGATATTTCATTCAATTCTGTGAGCGTTTCTCAGTGCTGAAATTGCTTACGATAGTGTACACACCTGAATTCTTGGTTCAGACAACAAATCACTGCCACAGTCACTAGCGCTATCACTTTCGCTATACAGAAATTCACCGCATGAGTCTGCTGCAGAACTGTAGCAAACAGGTGAATGTCCATGATTTTCAGAAATCAAAATGCCTTTAGAATAAGCAGAGCACAGACTTTTTAAAGGAGTTGGGTCTGTTGACGGAGATGGAATGATGTCGAATAATATTAATCCACTTGAAGTAAAGCAGCCACTGGTCCTAAACAGAAAGACGACGCAACAAAAATGATATCAGATCAACAATCACTTGTAAAACTGAGCTCACTACAAGCGGTGGTGATTTAAGAGTTGGGGGCAGTAGTTTGAAATATTAACGGAAAAGTCCTCAGAGGTTAAAGTTCCTTTAAATAGATATGTACTCTAATATGACATTGTTTATAGTAAACACCTCGATAGAGTTTTCACCTGAGTATCTTGTATTTCAGTATAGTCACAACTTTCAGTTACAGCAGATTTTGGAATCGTTTCGTTAACTCTGACTACCGGCAGCCACATTTCCTTCCTCTCTCACGACAATTTTCCCAGTGCCGGTGGCTAGAGACTTTTATTCTTGATTTTATCGGTGGTCTACTTAAAAACTAAAATTAAAACTCGCGTTTGAATGCATGATACTTACCTAAGAACCTCAAGATTAACCCTCAGTTTTCTTCTAGCACCTGCAGTTAAACCAAGTCTTCCAAAGTCTTCATCTGTAAGCTTTAACATCTAAAAAGAAAATGAATTGTGAAGTTACTTTAAACTCTTTTAACTCTCTACGCTGATCATTGTCGCATAAACTGAAAAGCACATTATACACACTGTCTGTCTTCTTATTGGCTAAGAGCCTACACTAACAGTTAATTTTGCAGCGTGCAAAGAAAGTAGTGTCCGATAGCCCGGGGCTAGTGGATTTTCCTATCGGGCTAGTGTATTCTGTTTATAACTTGCCCGACGGGCAAGTGATGTTTTTTGAGGAATTTGAATAACAGAAGAACCATGAAATCAATTCTGAAAGTCAAAAAGTTTTTTGGGCTAGTTGAAATGACATCTGGGCTAGTAAATGCTACAATTGTAGCTTCAGCTTGCCCGAATGGCAAGCTGTAAAAATGATTTTCTTTGCACCCTGATTTTGGGTATCAGAGCAACCTACAGATTAGTTGGTTTTGAGTCGGTTATCGGCTGGCAGATAGCCACAGTAACTATGAGATAACTGACTAATGTGAAGGGTGTGTGTACAATGCATGATTTCCAAGAGCAATCTCAAACTGTGTTCCGTGCGATGGCGTGGTTGTCGTTATTTTCCTGAAAACAATGTATAATAGACAATTATTATATCTGGTAGATTTCCGCTCCACTAAGCTGTGCAACATGAATCGAAAACCGTTAGGTCTATTTTGGCTGTTTCAGCTGAGCACCGCAGATATAACAATACGTAAAATAACAACTTCTATTACATTCAAACATGTGGCAAATAAACTAGAACAGAACTGAGCGACAGTTTACAAAGAATACCGTCAGAACGGAGGCCAGAAAAAAACCTGCCGAAAAAAAACCCACTAGGGAAAAAAACTCGGCAGGAAAACTAGGTAACTGGGTAGCTCATGCTCTGAAAAGCCAATCCTACGAAGACTACACGGTTCGAAGGTCTCTGCCCACATTTACTTAGCATGTCATTCCAACAAAGCACGGTATATTTGTAATAATCATTCGAAAACAAAGGAAAATAACGAAAACAAGCCAAATCCCGTCGCGAAACTCGATCTGTCACTTAATAAATCAATTATATAAAAAATATATAAATAAAAAAATAACGTGGACTAAACGAGGTCAAGTAATCGGCTCCTGTGTCAGCCTAGAATGCTTTCCCACGTGATAAGCGTCTCTCCATTCTACCCATACTGCACTTCAACTGTGACCGCCCCAGTCCCCACTACTCCTGTGCCGCAGAAATATTTCATTTCCGGCTAATCCGCATCCACTCAAACACCGGAAATTCCAACATAGGAATACTTTTCAGTTTGTAAGAAGGTAAGAAGGTGGTTATTTTTTTACCAAGAAACGGAGCGATTTCTTCCGATAATTGGAGGTAAATGTGGCAAAAGTGATTGGAATTGACGGGTTTAGCTCCACACGAGAATTTGATTGAGCAATTTTGCCCGCTCTTGCTTAGATGTTGAAAGCTAAAGCAGATGTCAGCACTTAACAAGTACTTTTTGGGGTAAGGGTACGCTTGGAATTGACTGAGCCATTATGATAACGATGCAGCCATCTCTCACAACAATAGAAACCGTAAAACCAGCTAGCTGGGATATCGCGAGAAGTCACGCGAAGAGTGGCACGCGAAAGGAGACGCGGAGTAAGGCGCGGGGAAAAAGTGATAACTGTTCGTTTTCTCCGCCCCTCACGGCTTGGCCGCTCACTTTCGCGTTCCTTGCCACTCGAACTGGAGAGGTTGCTACCAGTCTATAACATTTCCTAGTAGTCGTGCGCATTCGCTATTCCGTGAGCCAGTTTAAGCAAGGAATTCCGGGGAAACCTTCGAGGTATTTACATACCAAGCAACGTCCACTATGGCTCAATGTCTCTTTTTTCACCCATTTCAGCCAACCCTTAACAATCAGTAACATTGTGGCACTCACACGTGATACAACGACGTGATACAACTACAATAAGAGTCAGTGAATAATGTACCCTGCAAAGAATTATTCCACCTAAATAATGAACTTAGTGACTCATACAAACAGTAATCGTACCTCATCAAACGTCTTTCCTCGAAACACATCGGAATATTTATGCAATCGTAACCTTCGGAGCCATTCAGAAACAGTTAATGCTCGACCATGAGGTCTAAATGCCCAGTTGATATGTTCAGCACAAGATTGACGAGGAAATAATGGTGTGACTGTGGGGGATGTCACAGGAGAACCACTTGGAGATACAGAGGGTGATGGATATGAAGTGACGGGTGCAGTCGAAGGCAGGGCCACATGAAGTGATACCAGAGATTTTTCTACAGATGAATGCAGGCTGTTAGTGCTTAACTTAGGAGTTGTGTTGTTTACTACTGAGACACTGCTGGAAAGGACAGCTTCAACTGATGGTAACATGGCATCTAAAACAGAAAATAGAGAAAGGAAAATTAAGAACATTGTGTATTACAAGGGGAATATAAAATTATAAAAGAAAATTGTGGTACAGCTTAGGTTGCCTGTCTATTACTCGTAATTTCAACAATATGATGTTGATATAACTCTTTCATAACCTAATTAAAGAGGGTATCATTTAAAAATCTGAAATTTTCACTTTTTGCAAGACCTAAACAGCTGTTAACAACTGAATTAACATGGAAAGGAAGTAATATTACTATCCCAGTGAAGGCTTAAGATTAAACTTCACAATTTTCTAGTTCACGGTCATATGAACACTACTGACAAAGTATTCCATGTGTGTGTACATTCACGCTTGGTTCCCTAAAAGCCAACACTGCACTGACTGTTAATTATCTTACCAGATGCCGTTACTTTCAATTCATTCCCATTTTCATCCACTTGAATTACTGCTGGTGATCCTTCATCTGCCTGTATTTGATCTCTATTTTGAGACTGATTTGTAGCATCAGTTTTATTTTCTGATTTTTTGCCATCTCTCTCACTTTCACCAAGTGACTGTTCACGCACTACTTCTGCTATCCTGTGAGGAGTGTCAAACTCTTTTTGCTTCATTTTGTCTAACACTTGCTCCTTTTTTGAAGAATGTTTTGCCTTCTTGCTTTCCAACCTTTTCCGTTTTCCTTTTTCACACTGGAAAAACTTCACTACATGATCACAGCCTCGAACAAACTTAGGAAGACTGCTAAACAACCTAAAGAGTGAAAAAACAAAAAACAAACACGAAGTGATAATCATTCACATAATGAAAACTTTATGGATCAATCAGGTCCCATCAAGATTCCAATTTGTAAGATAATTCACATGCATTAGAGGCAGTGGAGATTTGTGTGATTATCACATTCATGACATGAATATGAGGCCAGTAGCTTGCAGGAAAACAAGGTATTTAAATTTGAGGAAAAGTAAACCCATAACAAAATAAACAAGTGGTCCATCAACTGTAACAACACGCATGCAGTACTATACACTTTTTCAATATATGGATTTAGCCAGGGCTAAAAGCAAAGCTCTCGTTAATATACTTATAATTCACTAAAACAAAAAATAAAATCAAGCAATGCTAAATGGCGACGGCAACAAGAACTGCAAAAAAATAATAGTCTAATTAGCAACCAAAAAAAACTTTGCACGTGCAGCACACGTTTTGGCACATTTCTTTGATGTTGTTTTGCACTACCACAAAGTGAAACTTTCTAGTTACACATTTTATGGAAATAAATGTTTTATATGCTCACCAAAGATTTTGTTGCTTGTTTTAATCCTGCTCGCTTTTTTTATTGCCGCTTATTTTTACCTTGCTGGGCTCTACCTTGCTGACCCCTAGCATTTCTCACTTTCTCACCGCCGAAATTAAATTTTTGTGTTTTTTCCCCACGAAATTCATGATTCTGCTATGAAAATAGTGTTAACAGTGGTGCATTGTCCAGTTACTGTATCATGAATAGGACACATGACCATCGCACTTGGGTTGCTGGTAATTGTTCAAAGTGTATGCAACACTTGTTTATTGTGCTTACCAGATGCAAGTTATTAAGCGTGTTGTGTTGATCAATATTTATCAGTCTACTTACAATAATATTATGCTCCGCACCATATGGCAGCTCACCATGGCCATATAGTTCAGTGATTAGAGTGTACAACCCGCAACTAGAAGATCATGAGTTTGTTCCTGCTGGGGAGCTTGAATTTTTTCCGAGCATTTCTTCATGTATTCAATTACCTATATCACTGTCATCAGTTTTCTAAAGCAAACAACAAATATGTACACTTGCAATGCATTTATATTTTACTTAACTGGGACAACATACCGGATGTAGTCTGTTATATCAGGGATGGGCGTTTTCTCTCCTTTCTGCTCAGGTTTATTAAAAATTCTGATCCTCCCTACAAAAAAACCACAGCAATAAGCAACTTAAGCTAGTAAATCTCATGTCACCTTCTCCATTTAACTTTACATTACTTGTAAAATTTTCTTTGTTTGAAAATATTCAGTTATTTTTTTTCCAGTTACCAAAGTAGATTTAAGGAGGTAAGGACTTCAACTAACCTACCTATCCTGCATATTTGTGGCTGGGGTTAGTTTGTGCAAGTCACTGTTCCACTACATGTACATGTATATAGACACATGCAGTTTCTCAGAGTAGAGGAATTCCAGGTTACAAATCTGAAGCTTCATGAGGGGTGGGTAGAAAAGAAGTGCTGACAGTAAAAAACTATAATTATAAATGTAGGCAATGGTAATGTAAATATACAGATAAAGATAACTCAGTCATCAGGAATGCCCTACCTGGTAAGAAAGGTAGTTTCCATGGATTGCCATTTGCGTCCACTTTGTTTGGGTACATTTTCCGTAACTTAAAATAAAAGATATTCGGTGAAAATGTTTGCAGTGGGTACGGAAACAACCATAACAAACATAAGAGGGGGTCTGATCAGGTGTCTTGAAAACAAAGACCCCTACGATCCCCACCTGAATGACTCTGAGCTTTATTGATGTAGGGTTAGGAAACTGAGTTAATCAGGTTCCATTTAAGTTATTATACTGGACAAACTGACCTTTAACTCAGTCTCCTGACCCTAATCAGTAAAGTTGAGAGTCATTCCGTGGGGGGTCTTGGGGGGTCTTAGGGGTCTTTTTTTTTCAAGACACCCGGTCTGATCTGTTGTACAACTGTTGTATAGCTGAACGTTGTATAACTATGTGCTGTTGTAAAGGGTAAGGTTTTCAAGTAGTTTGGTCTGTTCCCCGGTATAAAAATCAGATCACTTTAGCCTACAATAGAATAGGATACTGGGCTGTTCCTAAGGACCAGGTACCAGGGAAAACCCCGACCCCAGTCACCCGACACCATCAGCATGACACTGACTGCACGCTCCCTAACTGTTCAATTCTCTGTCAGCAACTTGCAAGCAAAATATTCAGGACAACCCTAGGAACTTTTTCATGATAATGGCACCAACATATTTTGCAGCACTTATTTCAAATTTTGCGATTCAGCCAATTAAATACATAATTTACAAGAAACTATAATTGCCAGATAGAAATAGCTGATGAAGAGAGTTCACACACTGAAATGAAAATAGGGAACATGGAGATAAAAATATTGTGAAATGACCCTGATGTTGACAGCAGGGTATTAATTAAGTTTGCTTGATTAATTTTCATGACAGCTAATTTTGTGGGTCTCAATTTTTGAGATTTTCACAGTCATGAAAATAACATGCTGTAACAGTATGGTATCATTAATTTATAGGAATTTCATTATCGGCATGAATAAAAATATTAAAGTTTGGTACTGATAGTGTGGATGGATAAGAGAATGACTTAATAGGGTTACAATGAAGATGGTCTAGTAGAGGCTTAAGGCTGGTTTTCACTAGCAATGGAGTCAGAGTTGGAGTCGTAATCAGAAGTGTAGAACTTATGATCTAGAGAAAAGAGTCTTCCAATTCTGCTTATGATTCCATCTCTCACGTTCCACTTATGATCTAGTGAAAACCAGATTGTCGGAGTCGGAAGCAGAAGCAGAAGAACCAAACCAATCACAAAGCGTAGGAACATGCATTGTGATTGGTTTATCCTTTCACTTCTGCTTCCGACTCTGACAATCTGGTTTTCACTAGATCATAAGCAGAACATAAGCGACAGAGACGTATGCCAGCATGCAAAGAAAGTCGTGTCAGATAGCCTGGGGCTAGTGGATTTTACTGTCGGGCTAGTGAATTCTGCTCTTAAGGGAATTCCCTTGTTTTGCACTGTGCACCCTCTACTGTGCATGACATTGCGACATCCAAGATGGCGGCGGTTCTTCCCACTAGTGCGAAAAGAACAAGCAAGGGCCGCTTTTGTAGAGCTTCAGCTTTTATTTGCAATAAAATGCCGCAGATTGGCTGACAGCTTCCTGGTTTGCTATCGAAAAACAAGAAAATGAAAGAAATGTGCGTGATCCCGAAGTCTGCAGTGGTTTTTCACTGCGCGGCCGTCAAGATGTGGAATTATTAAACTGTCTTGGCTGAGGCTTTGGATTATGGGGGCTGTGAAGCCTGTGGGACAGCTCTACGGCTCTCCAACTGTATTATCTGGCCTGGGATCGCTACTATACATATGTTGTTCAAACTCCGAGAGGGGAGAGACGAATATTTCTGGAACAAATAAGACCCACTGTAGCACCAGAACCATACGAGGGAGACCTCGAGATGTAAACACGAAGTTTGCTGCTGAATTCACATTTTACTGCGTATAGATCCCAAACAAGCGAACATATGGAGAATAGGAATCAAAAGCTTTTTCTTCAAGTTTCTTTGTCAAGCATTATTGTGCAAAAGCAAAAACATCGAACCCTAGCTCACCAGAATTAAACAGAACGCTGGCACTACAAAGTAGTTCAAAATAGAGATTCATAACTCCAAAATCTCATCAAATCTTGACTCACCTCACTTCTTGGTACTCTTTTCAATTTTGAACTTCTGTGTTGGCGATATCCATAGGCATACGGGCCGGGGGGGTGAGAGGGCCTGCAGCCCCCCCCAAAGTTTGGGCAACTCAGAGTTTTTGGGCAGCATTGGGCAGCACGAGAAAATTTGGGTAAAGCCAGTTTTTAAAGACGTCTCAATGTTTTTATTATTATTTTGAAGAGACGTGTAATAAAGTGGCTAAAGATAAATTATTATTATTATTATTATTATTATTATTTTTATTATTTTGAAGAGACGTGTAATAAAGTGGCTAAAGATAAATTATTGAAGAGATAAATATTTTCTATTTTAACCTGAAGTCGGCATAATAATCCAGTTACATTGACACGAGACAGTGTCTGCCTAGCACGTGACGAGTTTCTGGTTGTAAAGGAAAGGTATCATACTGCAATGGGCTATTTCCACTCGTGAATTTATTAGAATAAACTTCCGCCTAACTTTCTGGAATCATCTCTGCTCGAAGAACAGTGTATGGCAGATATCATCAGTAATGGGTCTTAAAGTGAAGAAGTGGCTGACTAATTCTCAGTTTGAATTGCGAGAAGAATCTTGATTTTTTTAAAAAGTCTATCGAGCGGTTTAAAAATTATTCAATAATTTGTTAAAGTAGATTGAAATGTTTACAAAACCACTAACAAGAGCGCCATGATACAAACTAATCATAGACAAATCCTTCTTTGTAGCAATTGGCCGGAGCTATCTCCATGATCTATTACCCACGTTTTTGAAAAGATTGAAATTATTAGGAGGTGAAATTGCATGTCAAAAGTGCATCATTTCTACAGATAACGGCCAAACATCAAGATTTTCCTTTTTTTACCGTATTTCCAATGATAAAAACTTTATCCCAAAATATCTCGATTAAGATCTCACAGATTCCGTTTTAACGTCACGAACATCGAGGC